TCAATGAAAACACCTCTCATTCTTCTGAACTCCAGTGAGTAGAGTCCCTACTTGTTTAGCCTTTGCTCATAAGACAGTCCCTCCATACTATAGATTATTCTAGTAAACCTTCCTTGAACTGCCTCCAATGAAATGGTATCTTTCCTTAAATACAGGGACAAAAGTGCGCCTAACTTCCCAACTCTCGTACTCCAACCCCCATGAAATAAGGGCCAGCAATCCATTAACCTTCCTGATTGCCTGCTGCATCTGTGTGCTAGCTTTCTGTAGTTTTTCTCTGTTTGACTATTGAATGGCAGAGCAAGCTTGAGGGGCTGAATTGCATATTTCTGCTCCTAGTTCTGGTGTTCTGATGGAGTTACCACTAAGGACTGAAATGAGACATTTCTTGACCATGTTTTCTACTCCGGAGCTGTGGATAGTCAATCATTGAGTTTAATGAAAGCAGAGACTGATAGGAGTTTTGAACTATAAGGGAATCAAGGCTGTGGGGATCAAGCAGGAAAGTGGAGTCAAAGTTGAGATTTAGCCATGATCTTAAAGAATGTTAGAGTGGATTTGTGGAGTCATGTGGTTTAATCCTACTCCTATTTATGTTCTTGGACTTCTTGTTAATGTCAGTGCTCCACATCTGATCTAAACTAGGAGATCCATGCTGAAACTCTGGATATTCAGAACATCTTGTGTTTTTATAACTGAATATGATTTTTGAAAAATAAATACGTAATTTCCACTCGTTTCTTTTGATTTTTCAATTATTTTTCAGAATTCAAATTTATTTCACTTCCTAAGCTTTGTAGAGGATGAAAGCTTAGTAATAGTGTATTGAAAATAAATAACACAGCTCTAAATGACCTTGGCTTCCAGTCTGTTATTTTCAATGCCCTGTGTTTATTCTACATATTATTAATTTCTGACTTTTAGTTAATACTTTTCAAATTAACATTAAGTTACAAAATTAGCCCATGTTTCCATTGCTTCTGTGGAGCATGGCATGCTTTTTTCCTACATTGAGACTCCAAGTTCAGGACAGCTATTTCCATCTAGATTTGCTTTGTCTGCAGTAAGCAATGGAAACAATGGGCAGTAAAGCTAAGATATAGATATGGATTAATTTTGAATACCCCCAATAAGGTAGTAAAATACTAAATTTCGAAACAATAAATGAAGAAAAGGCTTGGAAAATTATTAATTAATAAAGTCCATCTTCAGAGCAATGATCTTCAAAATACACCTTGTGTATTGCATATGCTTCATCACAGAAACAGTGATGCCATGTGTTTGAAAGTAAAAGATCTGAGAGTGAACAAACTAACTTTGCACCTGTGCACTTAAATAATACACAAAGTGTTCCAAAGTTATGGAGCGATCTCTAATGGCTGTATGAATTGAACACTGCTCACACTTTCATAATTATGTTAGCATAGAGTCTATTCGGGGCAAATGTCTTTTATGTAAAATGGATGCACTAGATTCTGTTTAATAACTTATGAAATAATTGTATTAAAATGTTTGCAAATGTAATAAATTCTAAACATTTAATAATTAAAGCTGGATTAACACTTCTAGCTTTATGATGCTCCATATTTAATAGTATGGTTTTACTGTGTCACCTCATTTCCACTGACTTAAATCATAGGATACCAGTCTTGATGACGGAATTTAGGGAATAACAGCTGATGTGGAAGAAGCAACAAATATTGTAATACTGTTGTTCTCTCTGGACAGTAGTCTGAAATAGGATTTGAAAATCGAGAAATTCAAGTCGTGCTCTTCTAAATGCAATCCTGTAACAGCGTCTCTTTTTCTCTCTCATTTCAGTATAATCTTGATCCTTAGCATGTGGATAGGTGAAATGATGGGGAAAATTTAATGTTAGTCACAGCTGAGTGGCATTAAGGTGGCTACCAATGAGGAATAGGGCAGTAATTCAACAGTTCTGATGACATCAGCATATCAACAGAATGCTGGAATGAATTATACTTAAACTAGTTCCTCGTTGTAATTACATGATAGGTCTATTGCGGTCAGTCAATTTGGACAGCATAATTTAATTGGAAAGCTGGGCTTCCATTTTCTCAACTGTCCATTGAGATCCCTGGATTGTTTTGACTTTGTTTGTGGTGCATTCTTTTTTTCCTAATGTATTTGGAATTTGTAGTTTGAATATTTGAACTACGCTCAGTAGTCTATTGTCTAAGCCATAGTTCAGGCTTTTAGATCCTGAAAATTTGTGTGTGTGTATGTGTGGACCGTACACCGGACTTTTACAATACCTTTATGATATAATTGTTCCAAGGATTGGAAGCTGTTGCAAATAATGCAAAGCTAAATTTAGCAAACTAACAAATGTTGTAAAAATCTGAACTATTTTATAGTTCTTAGATTAAAATGTGTCTGGTAGCAGCAACACATTTTAGGTCATGGAAATCAGATGTATAAATGAGAACTGTGTTCAAAGACACTCAAACTATAACAGAAAAATGGGTCATATCTTTAATATAGCTTTAGCTGTACATTCATAATTTCAAATGTTATTTATAGCTTGTGATTTTGTTCTTGAGTTACTTTGATAATTTATTTGTGTATTACACTTGCATTGTTAATCTGTATATAATCTCCTTGATTCTACTGATAGTTGATAGAAGAATTTTTCCCAGGATTATTATAAGTTGATTTATTGGGATGTTTATTTCAGTAATTTTATCATTAGATGATAAATTCTGTCAACAAGCAAATAACAAAATAATTAATTATTTGGTGTAAAGGACTGATGTCGGTATCATGCCTGTCACAATCTCAATGTTTCTAAGTGTTTACAGGCAGTGAAAGTACTTTTGAAGTGAAGTTAGTGGTGTAATGTAAGAAAGACAAGCAGATTGTGCACAAAGATCCTACAAATAGTAACATCATAATAATCAGATGATTTGTTTCAGTGATGCTGAGTGAGGTTTCAGAGAACTCTCCTCTTACAAGTAGTACCATGAGATCTTTTCCTTGTAGATATGAAAGCCAGCAGAGCTTCATCCACATTATCTCTACAGCACTCCCTCAGTGTTGTAGTGGAGTGTCTGTTCCAATCTTACATCCAAGGATATAGAATCGGACTTGAACTTACAATCCTCTGAGCTAGTTAGCGTAGACACTGGGAGATTGTTTTCAATGATTGGGGAATCGAGAATATGGGGCCACAGCCTCAGAGCGAGGGTTCGACCATTTAGGACTGAGATGGGAAATTTCAATTTTTGAGAGTCTGTGAAATTCCCTGCCCCTTAGGGTTGTGAATATTTTATCATTGTATATATTTAATGCTGCGATACTTTTTTTTTATGGGGGTTGGATCTCGAAGAATTAAGGATGCAGCAAAAGGAACGTAAATTGAAGATAAGCCATGTTGAATGGTAGAACTGACTCAATGGGCCATATGGGTTCCTCCCATCTATGTTCTTCTGAATTAAAGGCGAGTGTTCTACCAGTGAGCCACAATTGACACAGTCCCCAGTTGAAAAATAAATGACCAAATGAAGTGGCATCTCAGTAATTTGCTTCACACTTCTCTGGTTCTGTGGCAGAGATAACCAGTGTGATAGGTTTTAATTCTCAGGAAAGCATCAACAAGCAGTTGTAGCATTCCATTCCCTTGAGGCCAATTCTAAATGTATTGAAGGCAAAGGACAAGTCTAGTTTTTATTTTTTGAAAATATAAAGTGGTCTTTTTTTAATAAGCCATATTAGAACATAGAATATTACAGCGCAGTACAGGCCCTTCGGCCCTCGATGTTGCGCCGACCTGTGAAACCAATCTGAAGCCCATCTAACCTAAACTATTCCATTATCATCCATATGTTTATCCAATGACCATTTAAATGCCCTTAAAGTTGGCGAGTCTACTATTTTTGCAGGCAGGGCATTCCACGCCCTTACTACTCTCTGAGTAAAGAACCTACCTCTGACATCTGTCCTATATCTATCACCCCTCAATTTAAAGCTATGTCCCCTCGTGCTAGCCATCACCATCCGAGGAAAAAGGCTCCCACTGTCCGCCCTATCTAATCCTCTGATCATCTTGTATGTCTCTATCAAGTCACCTCTTAACTTTCTTCTCTCTAACGAAAACAGCCTCAAGACCCTCAGCCTTTCCTCATAAGACCTTCCCTCCATACCAAGCAACATCCTGGTAAATCTCCTCTGCACCCTTTCCAATGCTTCCACATCCTTCCTATAATGCGATGACCAGAACCGTACGCAATACTCCAAGTGCGGCCGCACCAGAGTTTTGTACAGCTGCATCATGACCTCATGGCTCCGAAACTCAATCCCTCTACCAATAAAACCTAACATACTGTACGCCTTCTTAACAACGCTATCAACCTGGGTGGCAACTTTCAGTGATCTATGCACATTGCACACATTTTTCAGACATAATAGTGGTTTAAAGTAAAAGTCGTTTACAATTTTGGCTTATTTGAAGACAGTAGATATGTGTTCTGTGATGTCATGTACTTTATATTTTATTGTTTACTATCTTCTACTCCAAGAATTGTTCTTTATGCAACATTTGAAAAATACAGACTATTCATTATTGCTTCGTAGGATTTGCAAGTGCAGTTTGTTAATAGACATTAGTTTGGTATTTGTTGTGGTCTCGGATTGTGTTCCTGTTGTGTCCAGGTATTAAAATGAACTAGATCTGCTTTAAACATTCTATATAATTTCTGTGGTCACTTTTCTGACAAGTTGCTGTTTGGTGTACCAATATTATTAAATATTGATAGCTGTTTTTAAGGATATGATGCAAGCTTAAGTTGGTAATTTCATATTTATGTTTTGGTGAAGATGATTAGCATCAATATCAGTGTAATATGTTTGTTTTAAATTCAAATTTTATAGCTAGTTAATGGATTACAAGGTTTATAGGCTTATAAGATGGCATTGATTTGTGAAGGAAAAATGATATTTGACAAATTTGATCACGTTTTGAGGAGGGAATCAGGCGCGTGATGCAAGGCTTTTGGTAAGGTTCATCAAGGCAGACTGGTTAAGAAATTAAGAATCCATGGGAGCCAATGCAAAGTGGCATGTTGGATCCAAAATTGGCTGAGAGGCAGAAAGTATAGGCTGATAGGGGGATAAATTCATGATTGGAAGTCTGTTTTCATTGGGGTTCTACAGGGTTTGATGCTCAGGCCCTTGCTGTTTGTAGTGTACATTAATGATTTGGACTTAAATGTAGAGGGTATAATCAAGAAGTCCATGGATTACATTAAATTTAGATATTCATTAGTATGCCACAGCCTTCGGGACTATGAGCCAAAAACTAGAAATTCTTTGTAGATCTTTATTGACCAGCAGAGACACAATGGGCCAAATGGCAGCTTACTGTACTGTAAACATCTAAATCTATAGGATGAACATTTGTAGGTTCAGCTATTATGCTTGTGAAATTTGGTACAATGTTCACAGTTATTTTCTGCTCATTTTTTAATGCAACTTCACTTTCCAGGATTTATGCTCATGAGAGGGTAACTCGGTCTGAAAAGCAATTCCAATCTCTCCCAGCAGCTCATCGAAAGCTGCTTCCGAATTTCCTTCCTCATGTGAAAAAATTAAGAGAGTGTATTGAACATAACTATGAGATCCTGAAAGCAATTATCAACAACTGCAATCATATGTTTGAAAATAAGGAATATGGAGTCATTGATATGGAGGTAAGCAAAACACAAACACAGTATGATTTTGAAAACTCAATTGTATGCATTGGCTCAGAAGCAATTGGGGCTGCATGTGTTTTGTATTCGCACCAACTATCTAGTAGCAGAGGTATATCTGAGTAAATTTATGTAATATGTTAACATTGCTTTACACTTTGATTTAACCTATTAAATGCAACCTTTTGGTTTCTTTTACCTCTGTGCTTTTTTGGATAATTGTGCAATATTAAAATTCCTGTACTGGCTGAGGTTACCATGAATCTTGCCCATCACTTCAGGCATGGTGACCTTCAGATTAAATTTACCCACCAATCGGCTCTATCTAATGAGGGAGCAGCCCTATGGTCCTCTGGCGACTTTACCTTTTTACAGTATTAAAATGGTAAAAACTGACATTTGCAGTCTTGTTAAATAAAGAAAAATGGATACGTGGGAATGCATGCAGGTCAGATATTTTATTGATGTCATCTGAACCCTAAAATTTGTCTCAAGTCAAATGCATAGTATTTTCTTACTTTTGAAGCATTGATGATTGTGAGAACGTTTTAATAAATCATGATCCTCAATCTTTATTATTGTAGTAATATTGACAGTAATACAATACCAAGCCAAAAAAAAAATTGCCACTTCAAACCTCTGCTAAGGTAGCTAATTTCAGTTGGTACAGCATTCTAAATGTGGACGTTAGCCTTAGTGTCACTGGGTGGAAAGGTGAAAATTGGCCAGAGTTCCCACTTCTGATTGATATCTCATGGCTTTTTGTCAGAAGTGAATTTGAGCAGACAGTCGGTGAGGACTTAGCAACACTTACATATCACCTAGAAGCATGTAGTATCATTGTTAGGTGAAGTATAGAGCTCCATTGTATGACAGCGACACCAACCACCACCCCCCCCAAAAAAAAAAATTGGTGTTGGAATTAGTGGGAGGGTATCCAATTGGATTGAAAGCTGATTAGATGGGAGCAAATAAGAGCAGGAGTGAGGAACAATTTCCCAGAATTATTGAAAGTTAAAAGAAAGACATTCTTGAGTGGCTGTTGGGACACCAGCTATCACGCAGTGCTCCGTAACCAATGTAGTACTTCTGCTTTTGAAGAGTAATCACTGTTGTCATGCAGTAACTGTGATGTTTGTTGAAGGCTAAATGTTGGCCAGGGCACCAAGGGTATTTCCCCGCCTCCCTTCATATAGTACCATGGGAATTTTAACATCCATCCTAGCAAGGTGGGGCCTTCATTTAAAGTCTCATCTGAAAAACACCTCCCTAACAGTACAGCATTCACACAATACTGTACAGGAGTATGAGCATTGATTTTTGTGCTTAAGCCCAGGAGTGGGACTTGAACGAGGAACTTGTGAATCAAGAATGCCACCAACTGAACCACAACTGATAGTTGTGACGGCATCCCACAGGTTCTATTTTGGGACCATTCATATATACATTTTGAATGGGTTGGCAACTGGCTGATATGATGACCAATGGGTTTTGTGGAGTCAGATTCTCAGTTCCTTGAAAGCAGCTCTTTGGCGGACAAGATCAGTTTGAAAAAAGCTATTAGAAAATGGTTTTATGGAAAAACAGGAGAGAATATAAAAGTTGAGGGCTGTTAACCATAACTGTGCTGCTGGTGTTAATAATGGAAGCAAAGATCATGCCAGCATTTAAGAAAAGGTTCATTGGGTGCTTGAAGGAAAACAGAACAAAGATATGGAGAAAGGGAAGTATGGAATTATGGGTATTGCTAATATGGGAGATGCATAACAGTGTAGACTGGCAGGGATGAATGCTGCATCTGTGTGTAATTCCATCCAATTTGCATAATAAGCTAGAAAATACAAAATATTGGTGAAGTCTAAAATCTTGCATCGCATTTTTTTCCTTAATAAGCTATTTCATATCTTGGGAGTTTCTTTAATTTAGTAATAAATGACTTTTTGTTTATAACATGCACAGGCTGACCTGGGACAATTAAAACCAGCATCTACCTTTGACATGGACAAATTGAAGTCCACCATTAAGCAGTTTGTGAGAGATTGGAGTGATGATGGCAAGGCTGAACGGGATGCCTGTTATCGGCCAATCATTGAAGAAATTGTAAAACATTTCCCTCCAGATGAATGGTACAGTATTGGTTACATAAAATTATGATTACAGCCTTAAATGAGAGATCAATAAAATGGAATTCTTTGAAATTTGCATCATAGGTAAACAGGATGGTTAAGAAAGTGTTTAGCATGCTTGCCTTCATTGTTCAGACCTTTTGAGTATAGAAATTGGGATGTCATGTTGAGGTTGTGCAGGATGTTGGTGAGGCCTCTTCTATAGTGCTGTGTGCAGTTCTGGTTGCCCTGTTATAGTAAAGATGTTATTAAACTGGAGAGAATTCAGAAAACATATACCAGGATGTTGCCAGGAATGGAGTGTTTGAGATATAAAAATAGACTGGAAAGTCTGAGACTTTTTTTTCACAGGAGCGAAGGAGGTTGCAGGGTGATCTTATACAGGTTTATAAAATCATAAGGGGCGTAGATGAAGTGAATGACAAGGGTCTTTTTATTAGGGTGGGGAATTCAAAACTAGGGGGCATATTTTTAAGGTGGGAGGAGAAAAATTTAAAAAGGATGAGGGGCAACTTTTTTTTTGCAGTGTGGTTCATGTGTGGAATAAACTTCCAGAGAAAGTGGTGGATGCTGGTATAGTTACAATGTTCAAAAGACATTTGGATAAGTTCATGAATAGGGACAGTTTAGTGGGATATGGGCCAAGCACAGGCAGGTGGGACGAGTTTATTTTGGGAACATGGTTGGCGTGGACTGGTTAGACTGAAGGGTTTGTTTCCACATATGACCCTATATCAGTTAGTGTTTTTCAGCCTAGCATCATATTCAGCTGAAGATTTTAGCAGATCAGATTCAATGTAGTTTGAGCAGGGTTACGTAAACTCAGTTGTGACAACGGGCGTCATAGTAAATCACTGTCTGTGGTTAAAAGGAAAATTACAATTAAAGGTTTCTGGTACTAAGTAAATGTCTAAATGGACAATTAGTTTGCTGCAACCTGTTACCAATGTTTCATGCAGAGTACAAGCTTATGTGGTAAGGTGCAGTCAAGATATTACCTGCAAAGCTATACTGCAGCAAGAACCATCGTCTTCAAGAGAGCAGGGAGAAAGTTGCAATATAATTCCTTCACAATACATAGTCATAAACCACCTACTTGCAATAATAAAATGAAACTAAATGTACCTGACAAGAATTGCATTTCTTTTTCTAGACATATTGGAAGCAAAATATGATAGAATTACTGAAAGACAGCTTCTAAACATTCTAAACAGCTACAGTCTGTAACAGGCCACATCTGAGTGCAATACAGATACAGAATTAAAAATTTCTAATTATGTGAAAGGTGAGAAAATATCAGCTGTAATAAAATGTGCCAAGGCACTACACAGAAGTAAAACAACAAAATATGTCATTGAGCTAGAGAAATTAGGGCAGACGACCCAAAGCCTGGTTACAGAGAGAGGTTTTAAGGAATATCTTACATATAATAATGAAGTAAAGAGCTAGAAAAGGTTGGGAGGAGCTGAAGCAACAGCTAACAATGATAGAGCACTCAAAACTGGGATGCTGTAGAAGCCAAAACCAAATTAGTGCAGCTGCCAAGGAAAGTTTTGAAGCTGGAGGAGATTAAAGATAAGAGAGGAGAAAACCAGGGAGGGATTTGAAAACTAGGATGGCAGTTTTAAATCTGAGTTGTTGCTTAACTGGGATCCCATGTCGGTCAGTCAGCAGCACATGGGGTGGTGAGTGAATGAAACTTATTGTGAGTTAGGATGCAGGCAGTTATGTTTTTTGCAGACCTCAAGTTTACAGGAATGGTTAGAATCTGTAAGTTTGTTAAAAATAGTTGAGGTAACAAGGCATGGAGAAGGATTTATGCAGTGCAAGGCAGAGATAGGCAGAGAGATGAAGATGGAAAAAGGCCAATTTTCATACCCTGCAAGGATATGTGGGTGAAGTTGATTTCAAGGTCAAATATGATACCAAGGTTGTGAACAGTGGATTAACTTCAGGTAGTTGCAACAGAGAAGGATGCAGTCAGTGGCAAGAGAATGGGGTTTGTGGTGGAACCCGAACACACTGCCAACTGGCTTCACAATATTTACTTGGAGGAAATTTCTGTTTATTCAGTAACAAGCAGTGTGATGATTTAGAGACAGTAGAAGAGTTGACTGAAGTGATGGTAAAGTATAGGTGGGTGTCATCGGTATCCATTTGGAAATTGATAGTGTGCTTTGTGGATAATGTAAGGGCAGTATATAAATCAGAGGTAGTAAAAGGCCAAGGTTAGATCTTAGGTGAAACACCAGAAACAGCTGTGTAGGAAAGAGAAGTTAATGATGATTTTCTTCCAACAGTGAATCCAGATGAGTGCAGTCCCAACTTGCTGGACTACTTTACACATTGAGTAAACTTCTAACTTTCTTCTTCCAATATGTTAGCTCCATTTTTTAAATCATTTTATTTTGGTTTGGTTTTAACTAGAAATCCATATTTATCCAGTTAAAGTTGCTTTTATAGTACTTGGGTGAACAAAATGAAAAAATATGCAATTATCAATAATAAAAAAAACTTACCAAGATGCATCTGTGAAGGAAAAGCACTTTAACGTGATTTTTCAGAATCATACTTGAGACAAAACAATGCAAGAAAATGCATCAATGAGTTATTCAGCTGTTCAAAGCCAAGTACCCTTAAATAAAATAAAGTATCATAAATGCTGAAGTTCTTACCCCTCCTATGTTTAGCACGTATCAACATTTTGAATGGTCGAGTCATTGTTGCCAACAGAAATGTAGATAAATTACATATGACAAAACAACCAGTAATGGCATTGAAATGCTTTGTGCTACATTAATTTGAGTTCAGATTGGGTGTGGTTTACTGTTGAATCAAATGCTTCGCTCAGCCTGGTCAGGTGATCATAGCAGCATCTTAATTTAGTGTTTTCCTTTTCTAAAACCATTTTAATGATCCAAGGTATTAAAATCAGGTGATGGCCATCAAAAATTAAGTGTTTATTTTTGCTACTATCATAACAAATCTGCTAAGCATTTTAATATTTCTTTCCTCACAATGTTTAACGAATCTAGTATTTCACACTTCTTAGTTGCCATATCCGCTTAGCTCCCTCTTGTAAAAACAAATGCAAAGCACTCATTAAGAAGCAAGCACGTGTCTTTCAAGTTGACCTTTTTTTGACACTAATTGGCCATGTTTTTTATTTGATTATCTTCTTTTGCTTTATATATTTTGAAAATATCTTTGGATTTTCCTTGATTCTACTTTCCAGCATTTCTATTTGCTTTTCTAATTTCATGTGCTTTCTTTCCTGCTCTTGTTTTTCTACAATATAGTTGAGCTTTTGATATCTGACAGAAACTGGTTTTTAAACTTGATTTACTTTATATACATCTATGGTCTGACAACAGAATGAAGACTAAAAATAAACCTTTCTTTTACACATGGGAACTCAAATGGTTTCTTGTTAGTACTTGAAGCAAGTAGATCATGTTGCTGCTAAAGGCACACAGCTATCAGTCATAAACCACTTGAGTAGTACACAAAATAACCTGAATGTTTTATCTTATGATCAAGAAACTTTCATTATTTCTAAACAGTGGATTTTAAATGGTAATTTAGTTTGGTGCAATGGTTGTTAACTGAATACACAGAAAGCAATTAAAATATAAAAATTCAAGCAAGAAATGGCTTAATTTATACTTGAAAGCTCAAAACTCTCAGTCTTGTTCATTTGTAATTGTCAGTGACATAGTAAGATACAAAACGTGACTAATCCATTTAAAGCATTTAATTGTTACTGTGTAGTTTTTGTCCCTGTATTTAAGAAAAGATAAACTAACTTTGGAGGCGATTCAAAAGAGATTCACAGGAATGATTCCCAGGATGAAGAGGTTGACTTTCAAGAACGACTAAACGGATTAGGCCTTTATTCATTTGCTTGAAAGAATAAGGAGTGATCTTATTGAAACATATAAGTTTCTGGCAAGGCTTGACAGGTTAGGTGTTGGAAAGATGTTTCCATTAATGGGGATGTCTTGAATTAGGGAATATAGTTACAGAGAAAGGGAACTTATTTAAAACTGAGATATAAAGGAATTCCTTCTTCCAGAGGGTAGTGAATGTCTGGCATTTTCTACCCCACAGACCTGTAGAGGCTTGATCACTGGAAAGTATTTAAAAAGGTGATTGTAGTTTTGAAATATTGGGGAGTTGAGGGCTTTGAGGAGATGGCTAAAAAGAGGAGTTGAGGCCTGAGGCAGATCAGCCACGATCTGTTGAATGGCAGGACTGGCTCGAGGGGCTGAATAGTGTACTCTAGCACCTCTTGCTTACTTATATCCTGTGATACTTGATCGTTGTTTAATTTCCCAGCTGAGATTTTGCATATGGAATTAATTGTTACAATATATATTGCTTTCTCAATACAGCAATCCTTCTGACATGAACATTCTTGTACCAGGAGCAGGACTTGGAAGACTAGCCTGGGAAATTGCTAGATTGGGTTATAGCTGCCAGGGTAATGAGTGGAGTCTATACATGCTCTTCTGTTCACATTTTGTACTCAACAGGTAAAGACTGACTTCAGAATTTGAGCTGCACTTGCTGTAGAGTGTGTAGTCTTAAAAATATTTTCTAGTTTAAAATTATTAAAACTGTATGATTTATTTTAAACAAAACAGAACATGTTGGATTACATGGCAGGCTAAACAGAATTTATTAAGCGAAAATATAGGTTGTGTCCATTTCATTAATCTTTCAACAGTCTGACTTGACATATTAACTTGCTTTGCCTCTTTATTCCTACTGATTGATTTGTGTATTTCCAACACGTCTGCTTTTGTTGGATTTTCACCACTTAACAGTTTTGTTTGTTTAGAAAATATAAATGATTTTTTGTGCATTAAAGTGCCTAATTCTTTTTTTTAAAGATGTACTGGAGTGAACACAATGACACTGTACCCCTGGATACATCAATTTAGTAACAACAAGCGATCAGCTGATCAGATTCGACCAGTTCATTTTCCAGATGTTAACTCTCATAGTCTTCCATCTTATGCTAACTTTTCTATGACAGCTGGAGATTTCCAGGAGATCTATACAGAGCCAAGTAAGTAAATCATTATTGGCATTTTGTCAGCATTATTATTTAGACTGATTTGCACTTTTTACTTAGTACATTTATAACACGAATACAGTTTTAAATAAGGGATCATAAATCAGTTGCTGTGTTAAGAATTATTTCAACTAAGGTTTTGGAGTAGATCTGTCGCTCTGGTTGTGGGTGTTGAGGTTGGTTGGCTCGCCGAGCCGGTTTGTTGTTCCACAGACGTTTCATTACCGTGCTTGGTAACATCCTCAGTGCAGCCTCTGATGAAGCGTCGGTGTGTTTCCCGCCTGGTTTTTAAACTCTGGGGTCCGTTGCGATGGATTGCCTCACTACCGGGTTTCCTCCGTAGTGGAATGTATATGGGGTCGAGTTCAATGTGTTTATTAATAGCATGCTTCGTGCAGTGCTATGTTTCCAGGAACTCTCGTGCTTGTCTCTGCCTAGCCTGTCCCAGGATCTTGATGTTGTCCCAGTCAAAGTCGTGGTTCTCCTTGATCAAAACCAACACCAAGATCCTGGGACAGGCTAGGCAGAGACAAGCACGAGAATTCCTGGAGGCATGGCACTCCACGAAGCATGCTATTAATAAACACATTGAACTCGACCCCATATACATTCCACTACGGAGGAAACCCGGTAGTGAGGCAATCCATCGCAACGGACCCCAGAGTTTAAAAACCAGGCGGGAAACACACCGACGCTTCATCAGAGGCTGCACTGAGGATGTTACCAAGCACGGTAATGAAACGTCTGTGGAACAACAAACCGGCTCGGCGAGCCAACCAGCCTCAACAATTATTTCAACTTTTAAACTTGGTTTGTGTAGTAAAGCTCTAGATTTAAAATGCAATGTTTTACAAATTTGCTGTTTTTAGCTTTGAGTTGCAGTGCAATCAAAACATCTTCATTCCAACCTTTGAATTCCATTTCACAATTGCTTATATTTATGTTTGAGCAATTTATTATGAAGTGCTTTTACTCCATTCTCATAATGCAACAGCCACAGTTGTAGGCCACTGATACTTCTGTTTAAGTTGAATTTACCAAAAAAAAAGGCAGTCCCTTTTATGCAATGTATTTCTAGTTGTGGCAAATTAATATAATTATCTACATTCTATACAGCTCTATAAGAAATAAGACCAGGAGATTCTGTATAATAGCATAAGAAATAAGAGCAGGAGTAAGCCATAAGGCTTCTTGAGCTTGGTCCATCAAACAGTAAGATCATGGCTGATCTTCAACCTCAGTTCTGCTTTCCCTCGGATTCACATATCACTCGATTTTCACTAGAATCCAAAAGAGTATCCACCTCAGGCTTGCATATACTCAATCTTTTGAAGATCCACTTGGGATGTTCCCTGGGGTAAAGAATTCTACAGTCTTATCAATGTTGGGAGAGATCTTTTTCGAAGTGTATTCTAAATCTCTCTGAATTATAGCAAAAGCAAACTGCAAATGTTTTGAATGCCTCAAAAAAACCACTTTGAACTCTTAGTGAATGCAGCTGATGAATGGTGTTCTGTATTAAGGTGCAAGGTGAGAAAGAGCCCATTGATCAATATATTACTGCATTAATACAGCTCACAGAATTCAGAATTCGTGCAATTAAAAGATGATCTAAATAAAAAGAGGATAATATTATAGGGAGATAGTGGCATGGTGATATTATCACTGAACGAATGATCCAGAGATGCAGGCTAATGTTATGGAAGTAGGAATTAAAATCCCACGGTGGCATGTGGTGAAATTTAAATTTTTCAAGTGGTCATACCTGGAGGAGAAATGAATTAACGCTCAAATTAAAGCAATGACATGCAATCCCTCTGCACAACAAGTGCATTAGAATCGTCTGAAAACTTTCCATTTGCTTCCCAAAAGGAGACCTTGACAATCCTCATTTACCACCAAGCACTTTTACTTGGCCAAGCTAGTTTGCACTTTGAACAATTCCTCCTTTAACTTGACCCATTTTCTTCCAGTCAGAGTGACTATGGGTATGCACTTGGACCCAGTTATGTTTGTCTCTTCGTGGGGTATGTAGAACATGCCATGTTCCAGTCCTACTCAGAGTATTCTCCCACTTTTTCTTCACTGTGCCAAGAACATAATCACTGCTCAGCTTGGTCTTATGTGGAATTTGAAAAAATGATCAATTTTGATTCGAATGTCCATTAGATGTCGCTTTCACATCATCCCTGTATGACTCTTCCATGACTTCCCTGTCTCCATTTCTGGATTAGGTTATCTGCCAATACCACTGCAAGCCAGCGACTCCCACAGTTACCTTGACTGCATTTCCTCAATCCATGCTTCCTGTAAGGATGGGTACATGAACAGGAAGGTTTTAGAGTGATGCTGGCAAATGGGACTATGTCAGATTGGGATGTCTGGTCAGCATGGACGAGTTGGACCGAAGGGTCTATTTCCATGCTGTATGACTCTGACTGCATTTTCACAGTTTCTCCATTTTAATTGGATCTGATCTGCTAATGCCACCTTCCATGGGGTGCCTCTGACACCACCACCACCACCACCCCCACCCCCACCCCCACCCCCACCCCCACCCCCACCTCTGAAATCTGTGATCTCGTCCAGCTTCACAGCTCTCCTTGATAGCTGCATTCATCCTCTTGAACATCCCAAGTTTAATTACTGTACCATTCTTAGCTGTGTCCCCCGATGCTCATCAGTAGAATTCCTTCCCTAATCCTCTCTGACTCTGCAGTTGATTTGTTTTTATCTTCATGACACTCCTTAAAACCTGCCACATTGATGAGGCTGTTGGTCATCTGTCCCAATTTCTCCAAATGTGGTTTTGTGCCATACTTTGCTTTTAATTTCTCTGAAGTACCTTGGGACATATGATCATGTTAAAGGTGTCTCATAAACACAAGTGGTTTCAGTAGTTTTTAATTGCCTGACTATATTGTACTCCAAAGTGGCCAATCAAAAGGGGAGAAGTTCCTGATCTTTAATAGCTGTCTTTCGGTGATTTACTCAATTTTTTTTTCTTTTTTTTTGTTTCATTATTTCCAGATATCCTTTGAAGTGACTTTGCTGCTTTGGGTTGTATTGTATATATGACACCTTGGCCCCAAAAATTTCAACCTTCTTATCTTCACCATTTCCATTCCTAAATAATTAATTTTAGCATTTCCTAGCTATTAGATTAACTGGCTTGTAGCTTTCTACTTTCTGTTTCCCTAACTTTTTGAAGAGATGTTACTTTTGCAATTTTCCAATCTGCTGGGAGCTTTCTAGAAATTAGACAACTTTGGAAGGTGGCACCCAGTGCAGCAATTTTGTTTCAGACCCTAGAATGTAAGCCATCAGGAGCTGGGGATTTGTCAGACTTTCTCACCACTAGTTTTCCCTACTTTTTCTCTCATGGTCATTAATTAATTCTGTCTCATTACATATTACCAGTATAAACTAGTCTGCTCCCTGTTTGTTCAAGAAGGTAATATTCTAAGAAACTTTCCTGAATACACTCCAAAATCATTTTTCAGGCACCTCTTCCATTTGGAGTTATCTAATCAATATAAAGATTAGAATTGCCTATGCTTTTTTACAATGTATTCTTTCTAAGCTGTAGGCCTATCCAGCTGTGCCAGCATTATAATCTATTGCTACTGGCCTTGTGAAGATTGTGTTGAGCTGCTTTCTTGAGCTGCTGCAGTCCATGTGGTCTAGGTGCATCCATAATGCTGTTGGGAAGAGAATAGTAGGATTTTGGCTCTGTGACCATGAATGAACAGCAATGTCTCCCTAAGTTCAGAATGGTGAGTGCTTTGGAGAGGATTTTGCATGTGGTGGTGACCCCATGTATCAGCTGCGCATGTCCTTTAGATGGTAGCAGTCATGGATTTAAAAGCTGCTGTCTATGGAGCCTTGTTGAATTTTTGAAATGCATCTTGTGTATGGTATCCACTGCTACTACTGTGCCTCGGTGGTGGAGGGAGTGATTGGCACCACATCCACAATCACAATCACCTGCTATGTTTTGGATGATGTCATTGAGAGTTGTTGGAGCTGCATTTAGAACTTAGTTGTCTGCTTCCCAGTTAAATATTTTATTCCTTCACAGATTCTAGGCTTCGCAGTCTAGACCAGCACTTACAGCCCATCCCTAATTGGTCTTGAGAAGATGGTGAAGAGTGTTCTTGAACCACTTCATTTTGTACAATTACACCCAAAGCGCTATTAAGGAGTTCACTGTTTTTGACCAAGTGACGTGAAAGAGCAGTGATTATGGTTCCATGTTGGTGATGGTGTGTTCCCATGTATCTGCTGCCCTCAATCATCTGGGTGGTAGATATTGCATGTTTGATCGGTACTATTGAAGGAGACAGAGTTGCTGTATTGCATTGTGTAGATGGTACACACTGCAGACACTCTGCACTGACAGTGGAGGGAATGAATGTTGAAGCTGGTAGATGAGATGCAAATCAAAAGGGCTGCTTTGCCTTGGATGGCGTCAAACCTCTTGAGTGTTGTTGAATTACATTTCTCCAGTTAAATGTATAGCATTCCAATATCTGTTGACGAACAGAGAGACCTAGGGGTTCAGATGCTCAGTTCTTTGAAAGTTCCATCCCTAGTAAACAGGTTTGTTAAGAAGCAGTTTAGCGTGCTTGCCTTCATTGCTCAGACTTTTGAGTATAGGTGTTGGGATGTCCAATTCAGGTTGTATAGGACGTTGGTGAGGCCATTGCATACGATTCTGGTTGCCCTGCTATTAGAAGGATATTATTAAATTAGAGGGGTTTCAGAAAAGATTTATGAGGGTGTTGCCAGGACTGGAGGGTTTGAGTTATATGGATAGGCTGGGACATTTTCACTGGAGCATAGCAGTTTGAGGGGTGACCTTTAAAGACATTATGAAATCATGAGGGGGCATAGATAAGGTGAATGACAAGGGTCTTTTCCCTAGGGTGGGGGAGTTCAAAACTAGGAGCCATATTTTTAAGGTGAGAGGAGAAAGGTTTAAAAAGAACCTGAGGGGCAACTTCTTCATTCACAAGGTGGTTCGAATGTGGAATGAACTGCCAGATAAAGTGGTAGATGCAGGTACACACACAACATTTAAAAGACGTTTGGATAGGTACACAAATAGGAAAGGTTTAGAGAGATATAGGCAAATGAGACTAGGTTAGTTTGGGAAACTTGGTCGGCCTGGACGAATTGGATCGAAGGGTCTGTTTCCGTGACTCTATGGCTCTGTTTGTGAGAGACCGTTAACAAAGATGAAAGAAGGACGTCAGTATATTCATACCATTATGGATACGACTTGATTTCCAGAAACTATTCCTTTAAGGACACAGCTAAAAAGCAGTGGACCCCTGCCTTTCAACAACTCCCTGGCCAAGAAAATTCTGCTACTATAACTGATTTGGTGATCTTTAGATGTCTATATATTAGAGATTTGCTGGGGTGCAGCTGAATCTAAACATTATCATCTTTATTGTCTTAGAGTTACACAAGTTACACATGTTACACAAGTGTAAAATAACTTCAGCATTTTTGTACCAACAGACACGTGGGATTGTGTAGCAACATGTTTCTTCATTGACACAGCACATAATGTTGTTGATTATATTGAAACGATATGGAAGATTCTGAAACATGGAGGCATATGGATAAATCTTGGTGAGTAATCTGATATTCTGTTTGCAATTAATATTGCAACTATATTTAAGAACATATGTATCTATACATTTTAAACTTCTATAAATAGAGTGTGTGTATATATGCATGTATGTCTTAGGGTATAAGCATCAAATATTTTAACATTCGAATCAGTCTCAGGAATTAATAAAGCCAGATTCGCACATCATTAGCTGTACGACAATGTTTCAGTTTTTAAACCACAAGTGCATAAATTGATGCTGCCAAATCAATGGATGTATATTTGAGGAAAAATCTTCTTGTATTTCAGTTCTGTTTCCTCCAGAAATAATGATCACAACTGCTTTGATTCCTTAAGGTATAGCCATAGCAATGTAAAATGTGAACATGATGGTATCTGCTTTTGTATATGTACTACATCAATATTAAATGTAACAGAAGCACTAGTAGTATTTTAAATTATGTTCCTCTGATGCTTTTCCACCTATTTCCTTATATAGACAACACAAATACTTCGTGCAAAGTGCAAAACCTGATAAAGAAAGCACCTTGAAGACTCTTTGTAGGTGACCATTATTCTGCAGATTGTGTTTTATTTTACCTTTAATTTTATATATAAACTAAGCAGATTAGTGAAGTGACAGCAAACTAGCTGTATATGATCAGGGTGATTTGCTCACTTATTAATCTATTAATGTTTGAGTGGCAGAATATTCGTAGATACTGAACCTTGTCCTCCTCAAAGAAAGTGGAGGATATGACAATGGAGCAGCTTCTGTCTGTGATGGGGTTTAGATGTTTTCATCAAAGTATTATTGAACCAAATTTTAAACAGAATAGGTTTTGACTCAATGTATGGAAATTTTCAAGATTAGTAAAATTCAAAACTAAAAAAAAATGCATTATCTAGTGTTTAATTGTAATGATTTAAAATTTACGTAAATTTTAATAGAAGTGCTTTTCATTTTTTTTTTGGAACATTGATATTTTGTTCTCAAACAGTTAGTTTGGAACTAAATGTTTTGAAATTAACATTGTATGCTGCCAGTTGTATTAAGTATGTTAATTGATCAATTGTAGAAGCATTACCTTTCAGTGATTTGTAAATAGTTGTCAGAAAATTGAGGATGAAATTTTACTTGGCCGTCACACTTGCTCTTCTGTAGGCTACATGTGTCATGAAATCTACCACATTTACTAAATTATCTGAGGGAAAGTTTCATGTATTTTTCCTTTTACACTGCCTACTCCTTCAGAGGTGCTACACTATTAAAATTGGTTGCCACAGCCTCTGTGTCACAGAGATCACTTTGTTCCATGGAATATTTGAATACCTCTAACCCTACTTATTCTTACATTACCTTTTCTTCACCAGTTTTTTTTTAAACTAGTCATGAATGCAACCGTTGCTGTGAGTCTGAGCGTGTTCCACATTTTCCCTATGCAAGGGAGAAATTTCCTTCCAATTCTCTTGTTAATTTTGCTGTTCAGTTCGGTATCTGATTTCAAGGTAAATGACCTATAAACATTTGAATTATCTTTGTATTTGAGCATTTTAAAGACCTGGAAAATGTCTCCTTTTCATCATCTTTCCTCCAGTGAATCCACATGCATTCTGTGATTCTGTTCATAACTTGGAGGCTTGAATACCTTAATTCTCTGTTCATCCTCTCATTGCACCAATCTTTTGGACATTGAGCATACAGGATTTTCAGATGAGATTAACAGTCATTTTTAACTTGTATTCATATAATTTTGATACGTTGTACTTGATAGGTTTGTTACAAGAACAATGTTGTCTTATTGTTTATGACTGTGTAGTAAGTTATACACTTTGCAAATGGGCAAACATGCTGGATGTTTCCTTCTGTGAGGAGAAGATCGATTAGGTTGACTTGAAGTGTACTACTGTAATGCTACTTATAATTCCTCTTTATTGTGGCAATGTTAGCTTTTGCAAGTAGACACTGAATTCTTACATTCATAATAGTAACTAAATTTAGCATTACATAAAATAATGAATGTTGAGAATTTAAGGGGATAGAACCATTATAGTCTGCAGCTCTGAAAAGCAACTAATTTTAAAATAGTACACAAGAAACAGTATCAAAAAACAAGAATCAAAAACTGCTTTCTGCATTTGTTTTACTCATCACAATTACAAAATTTTAATACATATTCTGTTGAGAATGAAAGCCTGTATGCGAAGGATTATTATCTGTGGTAATTAAGGAAATGAAGAATGGGGGTTACTGAACCTGCTCGTGTGTGTTCAGGCATCTGTATCTTCTGCCTGATGGAAGAGGTTATAGGAGATCATTACCAGGGTGCGATGGGCCTTTGATGTTTACAGCCTTTCCACGGCAGCGAGCCATGTAAATGGAGTCCATGGATGGAAGGTTGGTTTCCATAATGGTCTGAGCTGTACACACCACCTTCAATAGTTTCTTATGGTCCTGGCAGTTGCCATACCAGGCCATTATGCACCCCAGATGGTGTACAGTATTCCAAAATGTGAGGCTGTCCATTTTGGCAGGAAGACTTGGAAAGCAGAAAATTGCTTTTATAGATTGCATCAGAGGAGTTCTGCAGTACAGAGGAACTGTGAGTGTTTCATGTGCGATCTCTCAAAGTTAGGAACCAGGCAAAGTAGTTAGGAAGGCAAATAGAATGTGGATATTGCAAGGGCTGGAGATGAAAATAGGGAAGGCTTGCTAGGACATTGGTTAGTTCAGGTCATAGACCATAGGATCCTACAGTGTGGAAGCAAGCTATTCGACCCATTGACACCACACTGATTCCCTGAAGAGCATTCCATCCCATGGCTAATCGACCGAGTCTGCACATGAAGGTAATTTAACGTGGCCTAACCAGCACACCTTTGGACTATGGGAGGAAACCCTTGCAGACATCGAACATTACAGCGCAGTACAGGCCCTTCGGCCCTCGATGTATGGGGACAATGGTGCAAATTCCACACACAAAGTTGCTGAAGGCTGGAATTGAACCTGGTGCTGTGAGGCAGCAGTGCTAACCATTGAGCTGCCATGCTGCTCCAACTACTGCAGACAGATGATTTGGTCTCCTTCCCTAAGGAGCAATATACTAGTTTTGAAAGCAGGTTAGAAAAGTTTCATTGAGCTTGTTCTTGGGATAAAGGAATTGTCTGAAGAGCTTGACAGGGAAGGTATTCAGGGAAGGTATTGATTGCGTTCCCTGCTGGGAAATCTAGAAGTAAGACATGATTTTTAAAAAAAAAATTCTTCCTCCTATTCTTATGAATTTCTGTTTTCTTAAGTTTTGCCAAAGGAAGGGACATAATTGCACCAAATTCATAAGTATGGAGACGTCAAAGACGTCATTGGGAGTTCCACTTGTTCTTAGTTTACAAGTGTCACCCATGGCTAATCTCAATCCAAAGCCATCATTTCACAGTCATTCATACAGCATTCCTTGTGTAGTTTTTCATGCTGTTCACCAAATTTACTACACAGTACTGAACACTGAAAAACAACACCACTTTTCTGCTTGGGGATCCTGCCACCCTCCAGATTCAATCATTTTAGGGTCTGAACTCTCCCATGTACTAGCCCCCTACCCCACACAACAAACCTTGTTATCACATCGGCTGCCATTACACACTACCTGTTGTTAGTAACAAACAGTCCCCATTAACAGCTATTCACCCTCCTAGCCAGATCATTATCCACTCCTTTGTCCAACTGTTCTCCTTTCTGTTTGGGCTATCTCCCCACCTAATCATTTACTCCTTACCCTCCCCACCCACTTCCCCCCCACCCCCACCCCCACCCCCACCCCCACCCCCACCCCCAGATGGAATTCCATTTGTCATTTTTCCACACATTGAAATCATTGCTATCTTTCTGGAGTCTCCACACCCATGAATTTGGTGCGATTTCACAGTCAATTTTTGTCTCATCTGCATATTTCCTAATCATGCCTTTCACATTTAAGTCCAAATTATTAATATGTACACCAAACAGCAAAGGCTCACTGAACCCTGTGGGATTCCATTGGAAATTGCTTTCCATTTGCAAAGACATCTATTGACCATGTCCTCCTCCAGTGTCACAATGACGCCACCTGCAAACTGGAGGAGCAGCACCTCATATTCTGCCTTAGGAGCCTACAGCCTGATGGCCTAAACATAGAATTCACCAGTTTTAAAGTCTCCCCACCCCCGGCCTCATCCCTGTCCGACCCTTCCTCTCATCCCCGCCTCCTTGACCTAACACAACCCTGTCCATCATCTCTCCCACCTATCCGCTGCACCCATCCCACCCCACTGACCAATCCCCACCACTCCCCACTTGCACTCACCTATCACCTTCCCACCTACCTTCCCCAGCCCCACCCGTCCTCTCCTCTCTGTATTTATTTCTGAGCTCCCTTCCCCCTCCCCATTTCTGAAGAAGGGTCCAGATCTGAAATGTCAACTTTCCTGCTCCTCTGATGCTGCCTGGCCTGCTGTGTTCATCCAGCTGCACACTGTGTTATCTCTGATTCCAGCATCTGTAGTTCTTGCTACCTCTATTGACCATTACCATTTGTTTCCTGTTGCTGAGCTAATGTTGGATCCAACTCCTCACATTCTCCTGAATCCCATAGCTTTAACTTTTCTGACCAGTCTACCGTGTGGCTTGTAAAATGCATCACAAAAAAAAATCACTACATATAAATAATATCCACTACCTCATCATTATTTTAAAACAAAATTAAGGTCGTAAGACACAACCTTCCCTTAAATCCATGCTGACTATCCCTGATTGAAAAGATCCTTACAAAGTGAGAGTTTTTCCTATATCTCAGAATTGATTGTGTTAATTTAATAATAAATAATAATGCATACTCGATGCCAATATGATGGAAGAGATCTTCTGAGTTTTGGCTAGGGAATTGAAAGATGTTATTGTTTTAAACATGATATACAAGTTGATCAGTGCCTGTGGCTATGCTAGTTGTAAAACGTTCGATCTCAAATCTAAAAGCTAAGCAGATTC